CATGTTACGGGTTGGGTTCTGGAATATATCCAGGGAAAAATCGAAAAACGTTAGGATGGCCGATGTCGGTTCACAGGGGTGGTTTGGGGTAAGGTGAATCTTTTTGTGAAGTGGAGAGAATTAATTTAACCCGCTGCGGGGTAACACGACATGGCGGTAATTGAAAAGTTTGCCCCTTGTAGCAGCCGACGCCGAAGGCGACGCGTCTTCACGACACTAAGGTTTTATAACAGGCTTTTATTATAATTGATATTTTCGAATAAGTTGCTATAATTTTTTAATACTGTTAATTTGTATCTACATTATTTATAAGCAATGCTTGAGAGAATTACAACGGATATGGATTAAAATAAGGGTACTATTTAAGGATTTAGTTGCATAATAACCAGCACCTGACATCTATATCTATACTTTTATATCATAAAGAGGTAAAGTTAGTATGTTTTTTTTGATATGTAAGGGATAATATTTAGAACCGCTAGTCGGATTGCCAAAATTCTTTCAGTGATAGATAGCTACAATGTTCCTGAGTGCGATAGGCTATAAAAATTACGCTACGATCAAATGGAGCCCAGCAGCTGGTAAAACAGTATACTGAGAGTATCTAGTAGTTAATAAAATACACACCAAAAAATCTATTCCCGTAACAAAGTGTAGAAAAAATATAAACCAAAATAATTATTTACCGTTGTTCGAACCTTTCAATTGATGACATCTGATTAACTTTGAGAAAGGTTGTTCAAGAAAAAGCTTTTAGATATAAACAATCCTTTAACTTTTTCATCGAGTATTAAAAGTACTCGTAACTTGAAGAAGCGAACGCCTGGCTTGCTCGCCCCTGATCGATTTTAAATTAATTTTATAAAGTTAAATTGGGGATTATGTTTATTTGATCACTTGAAGGAGACTGCTCTGGTAGGTACTGTATTTTGGTTCAAACCTATTGCATATCTTCAATTTACTGTATTTTTTACAGTCATAAAATGATTGTTAAACGACATAAATGCTCAAAGATTCATAGGAATAAAAAGTAAAAATAAAAATAATCTAATTAGTTTAATAAACAACAAAAATAAATGTGAAATACACGTTGTGAAAGCGACGTCAATACAACTTTTGTGTATTTAATGATTTTACACCCACATCGCAACGGATTTGCGTATACATGCCTATTCGGGGGCACAAAGGTAGCCGGGTGTGTTGACGCAATGGCTAACATCGATTCGGTCTGTTTGCCAACGATATTGAAGTTAGCTGATTGGCTCCCTGGCTGGTGGACTTGGCAAACTTAATGATTTACTTTCCACAGGAACGTGACCTTTTTGTATTAGCCATTCTGAAATTTTGATGGATTTGTATATCATGTTATTGTTAGTTGTATTTACGGAAAGTAGGTCACGTTCCATCATTGGCCTTCATGATATTTTTTGGTAAGTAGTTTTTTATTTTAGCTTACCGATCCTGTTATTGTTTTATATAAGTAGCTTTTGTTTTTCATATCCATCACTAAAACTTGGCTGTTGGCTGGTTCTATCTACATTTAATTCAAATGTAAGGCTGTAATCTGCTCTCTAAACACATGATATAAAACATGTACGTCACCGTAACGATTAGTTTCTACATAGTACACCAAAGTGTGATGAACCTACAGATACGAGTACGTATTTTAAAAAGCTATTTGAAATATTTCTTTACATTAAACATTGTTCATTAAACCTGAAACAAGATCCGGCTCAACAAATTGTGTGAGCTGTGAACTGAAAGCCACGCAGGCAGGCTGCTCCTGACTGATTAATGGAATTAATTCATTATTCTGCGGTTGCGGCCGGGAAGCGACGCAGTCGAACTCAGAACGAATGAATTGATAATGTCCCTGTCTGCGATTGTTCACGGTTTCAAGTCGGCATTTGAGAAAAATCATGTCAATAACTATTTCTTCTTCTTTTAGTATTTGGTTCTGCAGGTTCGTTGTGAGTTAGGATTCAATTTCATTCAAGTATTCACCAGCGATAATTGTGAGTAACGTAAGAGGTAACATAATCATTATCTGACATCTAATGGCCTGGCATAGGGATGGCTATTGATTGAATAACCTATTTATATAACTTGTTTTGATCTCTCTAAAATATTTTATAAGCGAAACGAAAAAGACTGAAAGGATCTTTAAAAACATGAATATGAACCATGATCTAGCATACCACAAATCACACACCTTTTTATAACCTGAAAAAGGAATGTGGCAACAGCAATATTTAGTACCGTAATGTGTACCTAATGAAGCTATACAAATTTTATAAAGATAAACGAGAATAAACAATCAGTATAGAGCAATTCGTAGCACCGTGCTACGACGGCGTAGTTTTTATACCGAATATATCGTAGCTCGTAGCAAGTAACTTTTATTCAGTCTTTGCTTTTATCTATAATTTATTTAACTAGGTGAAGTATAAAGTGGTTAATTAGGTGACGAGCTACAGAGCTGAGTATCAGGTATGTTCGTATGTACTTAGATACGACAGCGGGTGGAATGGAGCTCGCGTCGGCGGGTAAGTTTCGTGAGGGCGTATAATTACGCGAGCGAGTAAACATATAAAGGTAATCCGGGCCGCGGCGGCACAAAGTGATGCTCGTGAATAAATTAGCGACAGAGCACCTGCGGCACCACCGCACTCCCGCTGCTACCTACTACAGGGCTACCTACTCCTACTTCTATCTACTAATTTATATTTTAGTCTTATTATATGGTTGAAAGTATAATAGAAAAATTATTAATTCTTATATTATATCTGTCAGCTTCTCTTTGCGGTATTTTTCTGGCCAAGCTATGACTGATCTTGAATAGTGAATCGAATAATTCAAAGTATTATATTTTTTTCATATTATTTATTATTCAAAAATGACTAAAAAGCAGTGCATTCGTATATTTGTCGTCGTTGAAAATAGCGAAGAAACCAAATGTTTTAATGCATTTGAACCAATATTTCAAAATGTGACGTGACTAATACAGGAGGACCTAATTTGAGTTTCGGTAACCCTAGAACAGATAAGATGTATCTATTTGTATATAAAGTAGGTACGTACTAAAAGGCTTCGTCACATGGCGAGAGGAGCCCGACTTGCGGGCGACATGGGACTCTATGAATATTCAATCTATTCACAAGATTTTACTTAGAGAGAATTTAGATTTAGATCGAGTCATATATTATAAAGTAAATGAAATAAACCCCCATGGAATTAGAAATAGAATATGAATAAGTAAGTGATACAGGACAAATAAAAGTGGTATTTTGGGCAGAGTACAAAATATTGCTACATTTGTGCGTTATGAATTAATCCGTGAGCAGTGTGTAGGCAGCAGGTAGGTAAGTAGTTTTTTGTTTTGTTGAAAGTGATTGATTATGTGTACCTAACCATGCAGTTCTTCTCTATCGGAATACGCTTTGAAACGAGCAAATAGCTTTCACTAAGAAGACTGACCGACAGTCATTTTTATTCTTAGAATCTTTGTTTAACGTTCAAATATCCCTCTATAGGTTTGATTGAAATAAATGATTTGACTTTGAGTTTTGAATTTGACTTTTCATCATAGGAAAGTCATCTTATTACTTCTCCCATTCTATGTGGGGCATGGGAAGTGTCAGATGCTTACTGACTATAAATCAACTCGTTACTTAGCTTGCTTTGAATCTGGTACCAACATCGTTACGTTTGCATCTGCCCCATGGCCTAAACTAAGGTCATGCACGATAGCTGCCGCTTGCTGATCACTTCGCTTGCTTATACAAAACAGGCTACCACCACCAAATGCTCCACTGTGTATTCTAAGTGGTCCTCGGAATAACGACATAATTTTTTCGCCCAGTTAATCCTGTGTTGTCTCACACCTGCATTGCATAGGTAAGAACGCCGTGACGTTTCTATAGCCATTCCTCAAAGAGTTGACTAACTACTGCAATAAGCTTGCCTGACCCCGGGTTGAGATTGCCGTGGTATTCGCTCCGTCATGAGGCCGCGGATTTTCTCCTAACAACGAGTCTCTAAAGACGAATGTGAGCACCTACGCCTCCTCATCCCATAATGATCCGGCGGAGAGATTTGAAGTAATGAGAATACGAAAATACTAAATATTAATCTGCATTATTGATTATTCTCAATGTTTAGGTATTTGTTTGTTAATGTATGGAACTACATATACATTAAATCGAGGATTATAAATAAATACCTAGTAAAAGGTATATCAGAAACATATCTACAAAAATAGAATCCTATTGTAAATTGCCATAAATAAAGCGGACAAAGGCTGACATCGCAACACCGGCCACAATATTGGGTTCATAGAGGTGACGTAATGACAGATAGGATCCGAAACTGCTGTGGAAATTGAACTGGCCGCCGGCAAACGCTATATTTCACTCAATATTTGAGCGAATGGACAGAGGACAAAACAACCTGCTGTGAGCCTGATGGACGTTATGCACTGAACGATAGCGTGGATCTACGATAGCAAATAACATTCGGCCATTGTCGGTACAGCCATTGTTACGAATTTACCGCACCTGTAATAAACTCTGTTTTCGATTTGCTTATGAAGTGTTGCTTTTAAAGCTCTTCGCTTTCTAAATGCATTTTTCCGCCCCAATTCTAGATGTATCGATGAACAAAAAGTTAAGGAGGTGTCGAACTAAATTTCTTTTATACGGCGCAATTGTAAGTTTAAATAGTTAATCACACATTTCTTTTTTTGATGTAAGTTTAAATTCATGTCCTTTGTATTCGTATAAAGTGTTTTCAAATGGTTCATTTTGAGTCGATAGGTATTAGGTATGTAGTTATTATTCGAATCGAATTTGGAATTGGATAAACCTGACAACATGAATTTGGCATAGATAAACCTAAGGATTATTGATTAATTAGGTATAGTTTTTACGAGTCATCATTAGAAGTCAATTTTAAGGCTCATTCTAACTTGCGTAACCAGATAGGTATTAACTAGTACTTACCGTCTTTGTTCATATTGGCTTGAAAGCACTTGGCGAGGCGACAGGCGCGGCATTGGTTCCTATGGGTCTTGTCCACAGGACAGCGGCCCTTCATCTCACCCCCTGCCTTACAGGTATACACCCGATTACGGTGGATGGACCGCTTGAAGAATCCAGAACAACCTAAAATTTTATATCTCGTTAGATAGTCCATTTTTTCTTTTTGTACGTCGTTTTATGACTATATAATACATTTACATTTATGACTATTTAATACAAAGAAAGTAAAGAAACAATTAAGTTTATTCAAAGCAAGCCCAACGGTGAAAACCACTATCTTGAATTCCGTAACCAAATTAATCTGAAGATGCGTTTGGGGAGTCGTGAAGAAATTATGTTCTCTTCCCTCGATTTTCTGTTGTGCTGGTATGTATGAAGGTACTCTACTAGGCCATTTACAGTTTAATAAAATTATGGAGTGATCAAAGAAAAAATTGGAAACTAACTCTTGATATAAATCAACACCAAAATTATATTTTGTTTCTTTTATGTTAAGTACAAGAAATATAATATGTATTAGAACTTTCGTTCTAATAGTATATTAACATCAGTGGAATATATCATTAGGTGAAGACGTTTCAAAGCTATGTGTGTACCTTCGTATATACTTACTAACACCAATGACAACTGCTTACTTTTACTTATCGTAATTGTAACAAAATAATGACTAAACAATGAAATTATTTTTGTAAATCAGAACGAAAATCACACTTTTTAACATAAATTTTTTTCAATAAACCAGTTGTGAGACTGATAATAATATTAATAATTTCAAAGGTGTTATAATTCTAAGTTTCAAAATAAATTCTTTTTAGCTCCTATTTAATCAGCGATATGAAACTGGTAATAAAACTAGTTTTTACATAAATTTTATTTTCATTGTTAATGGCATCCGACATGTTTTTCGTCGACGAACGGCTAGTATTTCTATAAAATTTTGAAATCAATCACAACGCAAGAATTAAAAACGTAAACATAAATTTCAGCTTTCTTAAAACATCAATGAAAATATGTTTTTAATTTAAGCTTTTATATATTTTTTTAAATTTCACTTAATTTTATATTTAAAGTTATAAGCAAAAAAAAAAACAAAAATACTGGCCATTATTGGTGAAAAAATAAGTTGAACGCCATTTACCACAAAGGAAAAAGAATGGTAAGTAAATGGCATCCTGCAAATTTTTTGGTTGCCAGTTTGAAGTTATTGCTAAGGTTTAAATATAAACTTTTTTCTGATAAATAATGGGTGCAATTTCCTTTCTATGGATTTTTATATAAAAAAATTGTTTGAAGTCATTTTAAATTTATAGAAATCTGTTCTAGCTTATTACTTGAAAAATATGTTTGTCAAGTAGGTTATTACTTTACATCATCAGTCTATAAGTGCCCATAGCCGAACAATGGCCTCTTGTCACCTAAAGAAGGTTTAGCTTTAATCGCCACGCTTGCTCAAAGTGGATGGGCAATTTAAACTTATTATAATTATAAGTCCAGGTTTTCTTACAACGTTTCCGCGCCTATGTAAGTGGTATCGAAAAAAATCATATGAGTACTTGATACATATTCAAACTACCTATGTATTTTTTTTAATGCAATTACATAACATAACGTAAATTTTTACTTATGCACGTTTTGGCTAATCTAGATTACTACACACAATCTAGATTAAAATGTATATCTTCATGATTTGGGGAACGTGCTTATGTGTATTAGGTATATGAAGATTAAAAAGTCGATTATGAGATAAAGCTATAAAAACATACATTTTTATAGGTATATCGTATGGCAGTTAAAACTAGTTAAAAGCTGATTAATTATATTACAAGTGGAACCTAAATTCAAGACTAAGTAAAGTTATATAAGTTATTAAAATAAAATATAGGTCTAATGCATATATTATTTGATAAAATATAATATATATTCTCACTTGCCTGAGTAGGTTATTATTATTTTGAGGATTTTATTTTTTATGTCAAATGATTATTTATACTCAGTAATGAAATGATTCGATCATAGTTTTTAATTACTTTTCCTGTCTAAAACTAGCCTCTTAGCAAAATATTCAGATTATTCCGGTGCGTTGCAACTCAAAGAAGCGACGGTGGTAATGTTGACACAAAATCGATTTTATATATCATCCAAATTTTATTACATGGATAAACAGGTAGGAGCACTGGTAGGCGCCCATCGTGATACAAGAAAATAACGTTATAAACGACGTGACGAGTGTAATTTGTTTAGTGTTTTTTTTCTACAAGATTGACAATTCTGATTTCAAATTATCGTTAAAAATAATCTATTATCTACCACTTATTTTTATATTACAACCTTCCTTTTTCAAATATAACTAGCAAATATCTATATTAAGAATTCAAATTTGGCGATGTTCCAAAATCAAAACAAGGAAAAAAATACTTACTAAAAGAGGGATTAGCAGATACCTAATAATGTGTCATAAAAGCTAACATGTCCGTTCCAAAAAAAAGTGACTAATCTTCTATTTATCTTTAAATCAGTTAAAATTATCGAGTTATCAAGTATAATCTACTAATTAATGACTGTAATTTTGTAATTAGAAGATTAATTGACTACACAGTTGGTGCAGTGGCTGGGCAACTGGCTGCGGTGAAACGTGTCGTGGGTTCGATTCCCGCACGGAACAACACTTTGTGTGCTCCACAAATTGTTTTTCCAGGTTTCGGTGGCTCATGTATGAGAATTAGTATGTTTGTAAACGCACCCACAAAACCGAAGAAAATCATAGAGCGGGACAACGTTATTAAAAAAGGAATGAAATATGGTGTCTTACCGTCGCAACTGTAGATGCCATAGTGCTTGCCAGAGCTTCTGTCCCCGCAGACATTGCAAGGGATATCAAGTAGACGATCTCCTGTAACAAAAATTACAAATTTTACAATAAATCAATTTAAACAACTAATTTATAATGAAAATTATTTAAGATACAACCGGGCCAACAATTCATCTTTATTCAAATCTGCTTTATTCGGGCTTAAAATGTACATTAAAGATTTTGTGTTACGTTTCCGTGTTTGATCTTGTAAAAAACTGTATTAGAACTGCTCTAGGCAGGCAACAGGAAGGCTAAAGCCAATGACGATACCCTATATGGCTGAAGTTAACTGGTTAGCTCTTAAAAATTGCTGGTAAGACGAGAAGACATTTTATGAAAGAATTATTCTCATCTTCATACGCTAACATAATTTATGTATTTATATTCGGAACTGCACGCCAGTAAACAACAAAATAAAATAAAATATTCAACCACATTTATTAATGTAGGTAGGTACCTACACCTAAAAACCACAATGCTAGATAATGAAACAAGTGTTTATTTATTAACTGATACTCTACCGACACCTCGGAGCTCCCCTTTCCCAAAATAGATTAGTCAGATTACACCAATCTCGCTAATAACGTTGGTGTTTTTGTTCCGTTTACAGAAGCCTTCCCTCGCGTCCCCTTTTCCTTAACGCTTGTAAAGCCTACCGTCACACCGAATTCAAGAAACTATTCTATCTTTACAAATGTGAAGGAATTGTTTTAATAAAAGTTTTTTAATTTATATATATCGAAATATGTATATACTAGTTATGGTATACGTCCAAATTATATAAAAAAACATTAATACTTATTTTCATATCTTTCTTGTCAAGAATCTTACATATTAACCTTAAGGACCGTGAGCCATAATTAATTGTATGATTAAAGGAACATTTAATGTTTTCCAGACATCTGATAACTATCATAATAGAAAACGCCCGTATAAAATAAATAGAATATATAAGTATAGATACCTATAAGAACAATAAAACAAAAAATTAAAAAAGCCTTGTTAATATCTACCAGGGTAAAATGTAGCTTATGTTATTCCAGACTATAGGTAATCTATGTTTCTTTGTACCTTATATTTTTCAGATATGTTCAGTGGTTTTGGCGTGAAAGAGTAACAAAAATCGTCGGCTGCGCACCGCTCCTGCGATTCGCACGCTGCTCATGAATTAGAGTCCCGTTTTAACTTGAAATTAGTACGTACTTAAAACTTTTTAGTTAGTTTACGACATAAAGTCACTATTTTACATAAATCCTTTCTATCCGTACTTATAAATATTCACGTTTATAATATTAGTAGGATTTTATACAAATGCGCTCGGATCACTTTGTTCGTTGGGTTTCCTTTAAATAATAACATTCAATTTGGTGTTAAAGAAACCGCCATCTTAATACCATGAATCCTTTTCACGGAAGGATCTTTTATTTTTTCGTTAAAACGGACTTAGACGACTTTACTGTTCGTCTTTCGAGCCTCCCGGGAAAGCCGCGAAGTGCCGTAATTATCCCCTTTTTTTGCGCACTTTGAAAAGTTCTTTGTGGATGGAAAATGATGGGGTTCAGCTGTGTAGACTACAGTAATGAATTATAATATAAATAATATTTTATTTGATGTATTTATTTTTATATCGTAGAAATCTACAATTCTTTTACTGTAGCGTCAAGTAGGTAAAACCCACATATTGTCCTTCGGGGTACTCAATTATATAAACGCAACAAAACCACAAAAAAAAGTCGGTAGGTAGGTACAGTAAGTAGCCTTACACATACCACATAGGTTTATCATATATAATTCTAGATTATTTAAAGCGTCATAAATATTGATATGTACATTTCAACTGTCAATGTCATCAAATCATTATTAGTGATGTAATATCGAAACATATGGAACACTTTGGAAAAATAATATCAGGATCATAGATTTAAGGAGTTGTAGGATAGAGAGCGCAATAATTTACCGCAGTCATAGACTGGAGAAGGTGGCAGAGCTGAGCAGGTTTTTAGTCAGTTAAGAGTCTGAAGTTCCAGTCAGTATATTTTTCTATATTTTTGTAATTTTGAATGCTTGGATACACTAAGTATTAACCAATTTTGTACTTAGTACCTACTTAAAATGAATAAAACAGCAAGTAGCACTTCTAAAGGCTTGAAAAGCTGTCTCTAAATATTGATACCTAGTAGCAAAAATCATGTACGTTTGATTATAACTTATTAATAAGTCACTGTGTTCTATTGCTTTGCCTACGTTTAAGGATTTCTATTTCTTCCTGTTGTGTATTATAAAACATTGCATTCATGCCGCCGCAAATCTTTCATGGTTAACCACTTTTGTTTCTAGGTGATTGGGAAAAAATTAATAGATTAACAATTTGTTTCAGGGTCAAGCTGTACAGACGACTTTGTCCGAGTCAAAAAAAAATCTTGATCTAACCGACAAATGACACGTAGAAAAAGTTATACAAATCCGTTCAGTTGTTTTCGCATGGTCAAATAATTATTTTCATAAAGTTTCACCGCGTGCATTATAAACAGACATTAGATGAAAAGCTGCATATTCACGTATCTATTCGTGTGTGTGTCTACTGATGCGTGTAGTTCGGCGCAGTGAACTCTAAATAACGCGCGACAAATTACGATAGTCGTGTGAAACACCACACTTGCTAATGCCGATCAAATGAATACTTACTTAATCGTTGCCCTCGTGATGTTTACGCGGATATAAGTAGATTATGTTCATGACTGATGTTTTTCTTTCGTTTTTGTAAAACTTTTGATTTTTATAGGTACTGTTGATTTGTAAATATTGAGGTTAGCGTGATAATAGTCGTTTTCGTCCGTCAGTCCTCCAAATAAAAAAATATGGATATGGAAAATATGTTATTTATATAAATTATCGTAGATATCATGTATGGTAAAAATATGCTTTAAGTAAAAACATTTGCTTATTATAACAGATATAGAGCAAGGCTATTTAACTATATATAGGTATTGATTTAAGTTGATACGCCCGCAAAAGAATTCAAATCAAAACAAAACATTTTAAATTAAGAACTTAATATGAAAACATAACCCAACAAAACAAAAGGAAAAAAATTAAGAGTTTAAATGTAGAGGATTTTTTTTTTGTGAGGGGAAAATCATCAAATGACTTCTCCCGCCCAGGGCCGGGCGGGAGGGAGTGTCAGACTCTTACTGACTAAAAACCCCCCTGTTCCTTCTCCTGCTCTGGGCCGAGGTTGCGGTGCCTTATTGCGCTTACCCCGCCACCCCGGCTGAACATCAGCCCTTTAGGGCCCCGTCTTTGGTGGTCTATTGGCTCTTTGAGGCGCGCGCGGAACGCTACGCGCCGTAAATGTAGAGGATGTGACTAAAATATGTACATTAATAAAAAGTATTTCTTCATGAGCAAAGTGGACTTAAAATATCTTCCGTTGTTGTGCAATAAAATTTTCCTTCAAATAAAGCATCATAATCATTATATCCGCAGTGATACAAAGTAAAAGATTATTTACCTTTCGACAAAGACTTATAAGCAGACGTAAAATACTTGATTAAACTCAAACAACGGTAATAAGTTAGGCGTTAAGAAATTAGATTAAGTTACATGCGCCCTTTGTACAAGTATCGGGGTTGGGGAGACGGTCCAAGTTTCGGGTTCGTCCCTAAGTTACGTTTGTAAGGACGCGGGTTTCAATTCACTGATCTCCTAAGATCTTATTTGTGTGCTAACAAGAACAATGGACTTTACATCCGTACGTGTCTCGTGTGGACTCTGCGGAGCGCTAAGCTTATTACTGGCGAAGCGTTCCAAACTATCTTATTTAACAGATAGTGGAGTGAATTGATTCGCTTTGCTGTTTGCTGTTTGGTATCTAATTGTGTATTTGTGTGTTCTAACTTTTAGTTGAATATATATTGTTGTTGGATTATTATCGTAGATAATTGTTTTCTGCTACTGTCCTTCTTATTATCTTAGTAAATATATATTTTGAAAATAGAAAAGAAAAATGTGCTCAGTTTCCTAAAATACATAGTGTAACACACACCCAGTCTTGTTTAATTTATATTTATTTAAAAAGTTTAAAGGCATTTATCAAAACTAAACTCGTTTATTTTTAAACTAGTGACAGCTCTAGGTTCGCGCGGATGTAATGATGATACTATTTTTCCACAATTTAATGAATGTTATTATACATTGTAACAATTCTTCTAACCTCTCTATCTATTAAAAAAAACCATTTAAATCCGTAGGTAGCGCTTCGTGTAGTTTTAAAGATTTAAGCATGTGTAGATAGGGATACATGAACAGATAGAGCGACTTTGTTTTATACTATGTAGTGATAATACCTTTAAAGCTGAACTTTATTTGAGATATTCAATCTTTAAGCCCCTTTTTCAAAGCAATGGTCAACTTATGGACACCTATTTTTTTCAGATGTATCAGTGAAGTAGGCTTCGATGACATAATATTCTTTACGCTCATCAGAAAGAACATAACAGGTAAAAGTAATTTAAGTTGTAGCTTTTCTTTAATTATTAATGATAAAAAATGTAGATTATCTAGATGAAAAATTATACCTAGTAGACAACGGACAACTGTAAGTTTTGATGTGAAACAACAAAGTTAAAAAACTTCGCTATGAATTATAATAATTATCTCCGCAGCATTAGGAGAAGTGTCCATATCTAATTAGTACGAACTTGACATGTTTAACAGTTTATTGTACAAGGTCCAATCTTGCCTCTAAGAGGCGACAGGCCACCATAGACGGGGACAGGGCTGATGTTCAGCTGGGGTTGCGGGGTAGGCGCAAAGAGGCATCACGACCTCGGTCCAGAGCAGGAGAGGGAACAGAGGAGTTTTTAGTAAATAAGAGCCAGACACTCCCTCCCGCCCGACCCTGGGCAGGTGATAGTCATTTGATAATTTTTCCTTCACAAAAAAGGTCCAATCTTCCAATAACATCATCAGGCCAGCTCGTGGATAATCACCAAATTTCATTGTAATATAACAATTAGTATGTGTAATTGCGTTTTTTT